AAAAAAAAATGAAAGAAGGAAATACAGAACGGTTTGAGGTATTTCGATGCATAAATTCTCACTTCTAACAAGATATCTGCCTAGGATCAAAATGTTACAAGCAAGAAAAGCATACTTTCATAATCACATTTCTTCAAAACATTACTTTGATTCACCGGAACACTCGGTGAATATCTGATTAAGAATGTAGGCCAAGTTCTAATCGATATTTTATATACAGAAATGACTGTTATGGATTTTCATCTTTATCGCATAATTGAGAAACCGCACCTTTGCAGTGAAGCTGTTGCTCGGTCCAGAACTCGAAAAATAAATCGAAATTACTATAGCTCACTCTTTCCCAGTTAAACTACAGTATACATAAGCCTTCACAAAATTTACTTAAATGTGTCCTTTGTAACAACACATGATACAACTAAGATAGTTGATCAGCACTGAGCAGAACATTAACTGTGATACATAAAACTCAAAAGACAAATATTATTAAATTTAATTAACAAAATAATTTGTACATTAAACTGTGATACCAAAATATAATTAACAAGGAGATGGTAAAAATAAATTTATTAAATTTAAAAAAACAAAACAACAAGTAATAATTTGTATATTAATTAATTAAACCATCAAAATGATCCCACTGGAATAAACACCAAAAGAACTCACTGTACAATATTCATTATGTAACTATATCCATTTCCATTTGTCTAACAAGACAGCCTATAAAACTTAAAAAAGCAAACAAACAAACAAACAAAATACATCCTTAACGAAAATCAAATACAACGGCATAAAAAAATTATGGTAATATTGGGAAAAAGAATAAGGTCCATCATCTTCTTCAGGAGCTGAGTGATGCCCGACAATCTTGATGTGAAAAATTAAGGATCATATGAACTAAATGAGAGTGATGAGGAAATATTAAAAGGGTACTAATCAATTAATAGTTAGACCATTTGCAGGGATACAATCGTCATCATATCGGTCTACAAGTTCGACGACCTGCATTGCATTCAAATTCATGATAAAGAATGTCAAATACAGGCAAACAATTTGAAAAATATGTGCCAAATTTAACCAGATGAGCTTTTTCTTAAACACTTTGCTGTGAAATTTGATAGCTAACACAACACATACTCGTGGAAACTAAACAACAGTCTTTTCAATTTTCCTAATGGAGTCCAAGTAAGATCCCGAAACAACTGATCTCAACTTATTCAAAAAGATATCCTCACCATCTCCCGAACCAAAATCCTCAGCCCCTGATTTCGTTGCAATCAGCACAAAGTTCTCCCCATTCCCAACATCAATCTCGAACAAACATTCAAAAACCTCACCAAACCCACGAATCAATCTCTTGTAATCCAATTCACTAGTCGGGATCGTATTAACCACAACAACCCCTTCCTCGCACATCACATCTCTTAAGGTCAAAAGAACAGACTTTGTAACAAACTCGACCGGCGGTGCAAAAATGCCGGTGCTCATATCACTCGAATCCAAATCAACCATGATGACATGAAACCTACTACTAGGATTTCCCACGAGCTTTTTAACGAATTCAATCCCATCTTCGGCGTACAAACGAATCAACTCATCATCTCCGAGCCCAAAATATCTGCTGGCAATTCCCAAAACGACCTCGTCCTGCTCGACCCCCACGACATCGAAGTTCAATTGGGAACTCAAGAACGCAAGTAGAGCCCCTCCGCCAACCCCTACACACAAAGCCCTAGGTCTGAACCCATCTCGATATATGTGAACTTCCAAGAACCGACTAATAACAGAGATGGAAGCCACCATCGGAATTAGATAGGGCTGGACCAGAGCTCCTTTATCCAACTCAAACTCCATTTTATCGATATCCTCTGATAGGGATCCATTTTTGGGGCGGATCCTCATCTGGGTCTGCACAAAGTTAGGCATTCTCTTGAACCTGAGCCTCCTCCTGAACTCTCCATTCTCCAACTCTACGTTTTCCACCAACATTTCACCGACGCGAGGCCCTTGTCGGATCTCCAGAACTGAAGCTCTGACCACCTCGTCCTCGTAGATCAAGAACGGGATTTCGCTGCCGATGTTGGGAAAAGCTGATTTGGGGATTAGGGCTGACAAGAGAGGGGCGGCATTGGTGGGGTGAAGGAGGATTGAATAGGGGGAGGGGCTGTAGGAGGAAGGGTGAGGGGACGATGGGGATCTACCGACGAGGATCAAGCGGGAGAGCGGCTCGGCGGTGGAGGAGGATAGGAGGAGCTGGAGGTGGCCGGAGAAAGTAGAGAACACCCAGTCGGACTCGCGGCCAGGTGGGACCCATATGGCGGCTGTGGCGGAGGAGGAGGAATAGGGAGAATCGAGGACGGCCACGCGGAGGTGCTGGTCGTCGGAGGTGAAAGTGATGTAGCGGGAGGGGACTATAGTTTCCAAACTCCACGTCTTCGGAGACATGATAATTACGGACTGGTTCACAGGCTGGAAGTTCTTGTTGGGTAATTTTATTTTATTTTTTTTTATTTTTTTTTTTAACTATAAACTTTCATTAATAGAATATTTTACGGCAAAAAAAAAAAAAAAAAAAGAACAAAGGAGTTGGAAATGAATAAAAAGCTGAAAAAATTATTTGGAAAACGTATTTGGTTTGTAAAAAAAATGTGAAAAACGTATTCAGTGAATACGTTTTTTAATTAAATTATATACAAAACGTATTTTATAAATACGTGCTTTTTATGTTGGTCCACTCCCTCCCTTTTTTTCTGTTTTTTGTCCACTTATTACTTTTTTATTAACAAATATATAAATTGCTCCTCATTAATAACACACACAATTACAACGTATAGAACGATCAAAGTAGTCGGAATGGACAACCAAATGGCCAAAATGAGACGACATCCCAAAAAGAGCCTAAATACCACAACACACCTACATCAAAAAAAAAAAGGCCTTCCAGTAGAGGAGAAACAAACTCCAACAAGTGGAGAACAAAACTCCCAAAAAGGAGAACAACCTCCTAAATAGCGGACCAAACCCCAACACGACGAAAAACACACAAACAACAAAAAAAACAACACAAACACACCCACAGCAACCAACACACTAATAACACTACAAGAAATACGAGTTTTACCAACGGAATAGTCCGTTGGTAATCAAATTTTCCAACGGAATACCAACGACCTACCTACAGATTTTCTTGTTGCTATATGGCTTGTTACTAACTTTTACCAACGAAAAATACAATCCGTTGGAAAAATTTCTAACGGATTATCAGCAAATTTGCAACGGAAATGCTTCATGAAATTGTCAAGGGATTCTCAAGAGAAAATAAAGTTGCTAAATCATTCCGTTGGTAAATTACTAGTAGAAAGCTAACATATTAGTTATGAATATACCAACAGATTACCAACAAATTTTTCCCAACGGATTGCCAACGAATTTTTTTCCCAACGGATTACCTAACATATATTTTCCCAACGGATTACCAACGGAATTTTCTTAACGGATTGTCAACGGAATTTTTTTCCCAAAGGACATTTTGTCCCAATGAATTACCAAGAGATTTTTTTTTTCCCAACAAATTACCAAGGAAATTATTCCAACAGATTACCAAGAGAATTTTTTTCCCAACGAATTTTTTTTCCCAACATATTATCAACAGATATATTCCCAACAGAATACCAACGGAATTTTCCCAACAGATTGTCAGTGTAGGGGGAGGCAACGGTAGGGGTTGGCAACAGGTCAGGTAGGGCTGAGTACTATTTGTCACATTTTTGTTACATTTTTCATTGTCTTTTAATCTTTATTTTTCCCCCATTTTGGGCCTTTTAATTGGTTTTTAGGTCGTTATGTAGTTTATTTCGTGGTTCGCTTTATTTTAGTCTTTCTGGCATTTTTCGGTATTTTTCCGGTTGGTGGTCGTTGGTGTGCAAGTTTGATGACTCGGGAGGATTTATTTTTTTCACGTTAAATGTGCCGGGAGAATATGATTAAAGAGAGCATTTCGTTGGGAGTCACAGAAACAAGCGGAATCGAATTCCTATACCGAATGAGCCCGAACGACTTCGGAACGTGATGACATGCAAGCTGCCCAAGCACGTGCCGAAGCCCCACGCCGTGCCGAGCTCCTGCGCCGCATCACCTGGTCCCAGGAGGTCCCACCGTCGCGCTGCGATCACGCCCCGACACGGACAGAAAACCATGCTTTGCGCCCCGCGCCGCGCCAGCCAGCGCGCCGCGACGCATGCTACCTTCTTTCTCCCAGTGCGCCACGCGAGACCCCCGCGCCGCGTCACCAGCTCCATGCCGCGCCACGATGCAAGCTGCCCTCTACGCCCAGCGCACCACGCAACACCCTCGCGCCGCGAGACGTCCTCTTGCCGCGCCCGCTGCACACTGCTACGCCGTGATGAGAGAGCCTACCGCGCCCGCGAGCTCCTCCGCGCCGCGGCGCCTGTTCCTTCCGCGCACGTGATGCTCCTCGCTCCGTGGCCCTCTATCTCATATATATATTCGGATCGGGACTTCGTAAAAGATTATTCTCACCTTCCCGGGGTGAAAACCCTAGGTCGGAAAAAATCACGAACTCTCTTCTCCTTCCTTCTCTTCTTCTTCTTCTTCATTTTTCTTCTTCTTTTCATCATTATTTTTCATTTTTCTTCTTCTTCTTCATAGCAATTAGGGATTAAGCTTTTAATTCCATTCAACACTTGGATTTTGGGATTAAATATAAGTTTTTTCTCTTTTAGTTAATTCATGAAAATGGTTGATTTGAGGAGAATGATTAATTGTGTTAGATTGATTTTACGTAGCTAATTTCTACTGCTAGGGATAGGGGATGATTGTTCTCGTTTGAATTGTACTTGTCGGGCTTCGATTCGTTCATACTTATGTGCGTTGTTTTGATGAGGAATTGATGAATTTGTATTCGATAGATTGATATAATCGAAAAGTGACATTTCGATCTCGCTATTGGTGACAGTTGGATGTTAATTAGTCGAGTTAGGGTTTGTCAATTCTATATGATTAGTTGATTAATCACTTTCTAATTGACTTAGCGGCTTTCAGAACCGAAAGGGAGAAGTCGTAGAAATAGGCTCACATGAGGTAGATGATTTCGTAATTGAATAGTCTATAGGTTTTTGGTTGAAATACGTGCGAGTCGATGACCCGTCCCTTGTTACAAAAAAGTTATTGGGATTGGGATAGTTGGCTTGTATTGTATGCTCGAGCTTGTACGTCTATGTTCAATCCCTTGTTACAAAGAGTTATTGGGAGTGAACCGCTAGATGTCTAAGCGAGAATGTCAATCTCGAACCGAACAATTGATTGCCCGGTTTTGCTAGAACTTGAATGAATTATCCCCGACTCCCTAGCTTCTCCATCTTTATTTCATTTATATTCTTAGGTAGATTATTGCTTTTATTATTTCTTAGTTGGTAATCGCTCAACCCCCTTATTTGATTAGAGTGTTTAGGTTTCTCTTTCTTTTCGTGTGTGATCGATACCAAAGCTAAATTCCGAACCGCCTTCCTCGTGAGATCGACCCGGGAAACGAATCCTTCGATTCGTCGCTCGGTAAAAATAATAATTTGTACGCAACATGTACCTGCGGACCCAGACCTGGCCCGCGTTTTGGCCCAGTGGACCTGATCTGCCCCGCGACCCACAACGGGTCCAACAGGTCGGCTCGTGATCTGACCCGTTTTGGGGCGGGTCGATCCGCCCCGACCTGCGATCCGTGCCTGACCTGCCTTGACCCGATAGCCGCTTACATAATTTTTTATCCTTTTTATTTATCTCAATCATCACCTTAAACATTACACATTGGACGAAATAATAATAATAATAATAATAATAAAATTTTAAAAGTTTAAATAACACTCAAGTCGAAATACAACAATCCAACAAATTATATAATAAGTATTATAATTCAAAAATCAAAATACAAAGATCTCGACATTATCTGTTATATATAATTTATATAGGAATGAGAAAACTCAAAATCTAAATCCTAATTTCAATTATATATTGTATATAGTTTATATAAAAATGAATAAATAAGATCAGGACGGGGCGGGAAAAAGGACTCCAACCTGGCCCGCTTAGTTAACAGGTCAGGCCAGGTCCAACTTGTTTTAGAAACAGGGCAGGTTTGGACCGCCTCAAAAATGTTTCGGGCAGGGCCGGGTCTTGGGCCAGCAAGCCAAGGCTCCAGCCTAGTGTCTCATTTTTTTGGGGGCCTCACATATATATTTATATATTATACATTGTGTTGGGCTTGACCCAATTTGTATTCTCTTTTACATTTTACAGTCTGCCCCTTTTTGCCTGTGAACTTTACAAAATCAATCGCGATTTACAATTGCAATTGAACTTTACAAAACCAAATCCCAATTTTGCAATTCCTGTTGTGGAGTTTTGATTTGTTGCTCGACGGCCAAATCCTCCGTCCTCATTACAACCGCTCAACTCCTAATTTCGCATTTTCCGTTGTGGAGTTTAGTTGCTCGACAACGACGACCAAATCACTCCGCCCTCATTCACGCAGCGGTGCCGCCGCTAGGTCTCTCAATCAACTAGGTAGGAACTTCTTCTATTTTCTAAATATTTATCCTTTTTTTTAAGTGTCACTTTGTGTTGGGGTTAGCACCTTGAGGTACATGTATTAATTTTTGTTATATTTTAGCGCATGAAAGTATTATGTACGAGACTAAAAGCTTGTTGAGTATGATTAAATTGGCCTCTGAAAGGGTTATGCGCATGAATATGATTAAATTGGCCTCTGAAATGTAAGAGCTTGTTGATTTGTTTGTCTAAGATTTTATATTTTTATGAGTTTAGACTTTAGGCCACAACATAATAGCTTTTTACTTTTTAGCATGATAATTTGAAGAAGAGATTGTAAATAAATTTAGCTTTTTAGCTTCATTATATGTTTTCTTTTTCTTCGTACTTGACTATATTTTTTATTAATTAGTATTGTATATAAATTTATTCACATATATTCCATCATTCTATGATTAGATTTGTTAGACAAATTATGACGGGCGAACGCAAATTCGAATCGAGAAGTTCGAAAAGGAAAAATAAAGAAATGCAAGAGATATTAACAAAATGTCTCACCGGTTCAATGGATAGGTACGTAAAAGTTACAGCTCCTGTAGCAGAAGTTAACGTGTTTGGTCCTACTGAAATTGTGCTATAATTAATTGATACACCCGTAGTTGTTGACCATCCCGGTTATTGTTGCATCTATGAAAGAAGTTTTTTCAAGCTGAAGTTGATAAAAAATTACCTTCAATCAACTATGTCTCGGGATAGATTGAATGGTTTGACAATCCATTGGAAAAAAAATAGTTGTGAAACTTGATTATGGTGACTTGGTCGATAATTTTATACAAAAAAAGACGAGAAGGTTTAAGATTTTGTATTCTAATTTACTACATTTTCTCAAATTCATGGTTTTTTTGTAGTTATTATTGACAATGTTTATTATTATTTGTTCAATTAATAAAAATTTAAAATATAAAAAACACGATGACGGGCCTCACTTAAAACAATTGTCTGGGGCCTCCAAATTTCTAGAGACGGCCTTAGCTCCGGTCGTGCCAGTTTCCAAGTCGTTTTGCAATCCCTAGGCAGCGGACACCGAAACACGGGAGAAATCAAAACCATGTGCGGTAGGGGGTGGGGCAGCGGACACGAAATAAGACAAACTTGCCAGTTTAAAACCATGTGACGTTGAATCGGATTTGCTGCTACAATATTTAGTAATAGAACTTGTATTAATAGAAGTCGGTTCTGCTATGAAGTCAACAGTTGGCTGGAGCCGACCTTCTATATAAAATCAGTAAATTTACTATATTCTCTGATTACTTAAATAACACTAATATAATTTTATTAATATATTAATTTATTTATTGTATATAGAAAGTTGGTTCTACTATGAAGCCAACTGTTGGTTTCATAGCAAAATCGGAATAAAAGTATATAGAACTTTTCATTTCATTTTGTTAGGTGAAAGATATCGAATTTTTTGCTGGTGAATGAACACAAAGGCAGTGCAATATAAATATATGAGTGGTAAAAAAATTTCGACCGTAGCAACCGACTATTAAAAAACAATGATTTTCAAAGAAAACTAGAGAACAGGCCCTTGTGTCCACAGATTTTTCCGTTCCTACGCGGCGAACACCAAAAAGCCACTGTCCATCGTCACCCATAATTGCCTGCTGTTTTAACGGTCTCACTTTCCATTTTATACCCACACGATTATTTCACACATAAAATTTTGAAGAATTTTCACGTAATCTGGTATTGATATTGAGAGAAGGAGTGAGAACAATTTTGCACCTTGGTTTTATTATCATTTCCGTTTTCTTTTTATCTTTTTTAACTTAATTTCGGGAAATGCTACGGTCCCATTATAGAACCATTCCGTCAGAATATGTAATCGTTAGATCATCATGTAACCGTCGGGGATAGTTGATCTAACGGTTACAAAGTCTGACGAAATAGTTCCGTAACGAAACTGTATCATTTCGTGTTTTGTTACTACTTGGAGGGATGAAATCGTGAATGTGCCAACATTACATTTTTTATTGCATTTCTATTGTTATAACCTTTTAATTTCCATAATTTTTTTAACATTTCATTGAATATTGATTAATAAATGAAATGTCAATTCATATAAATGTAAAAAATCATATCCATAGGCATACCTTAATATATTTTCATATTTTTTATTTTGCATCCAGCCCAAAGAAATTAAATAATCGAACTCGGCTTGAGAAATTTCTCGGAAACGCGTGACTAGATTTTCACTACTTTATTATCCTACATTATCAAGATTCAAGATGACCCGAATAATTATATTTATCTCAAACAAATTATCTTATTATATTTATCCCAAAAAAAAAAAAGAAAAAAAAAATATATCATAAGTGCCAAAGTTCATCTTCCGATTTTAACCCTGTCGTGCTCAGCAGCTCAGCCCTAAGTTCTATCCGCTTTTGACTTTCAGCTCACAACCAATTGGCTTTTCTTACTCTCACAGACTCAGTCCCCATTCGCCATCATCTCTCACATCTGACTCTGTGTATCTGCAGAAAATAAGGAGAGCTTTCCTCTACTAAAGCTGAGCAAAAAGATGAGCAGATTCAGGAGATTCGAGATCGTCGAGCACTCCCCTTCGCACTACCTCAAGCACACTTCCCTTCTCAGGCATGCAAGAACCCTAGAGCTGAATCCCTTCTTCCCCTCATTCCCCATTGTTGAGGACGAGCTCGACCTCCTGACCCTCGCCCCAGCTCCTCAAGCTTTGTTCGATGAATTTGACACCATCGCCGATCTGATCCAGATCGATGAAACCCCGTTCCACACATCCACGCGCCGCCTCACGCGCCGAGTGGGGTTGGGGGATCTGTACCTGCAGTTGCTCAGCGACCGCGTCTCGGCTCTGGAGCTGGAGCTGGGGCTTGGCCGGCTCGCGAGGGAGGAGAAGAACGTGAAGAAAAAGTACACATGGACGGCAGAGGTGAAGAGCCCAGAGAATGACCGGAAGTATCAGTGGACGGCTGAGGTCAAGGGCGAGAAGGAAGGGCCGGAGAAGAGCTACAAATTGACGGCTGAGATCCAAAGGAAGGGCAACTCCCGGAGCTTGCCAATCGAGCAGAAGTACACTATTAAGGTGTCCAGCGGCGGAAGCAGCAGTGATTCGGAGGAGAAAGTGAAGAAGGAGAAGAAGAAGAATAAGAAGTGTGAGAAGGTCAAGGAGAAGGGTACGAAAGGGTCCAGTTCCCGCATTGTTGAGATTGAGGAACCCGCCGATCATGGGGGGATTGTTTTGAGGCAGGTTGGTGTGGTTTTTTTTGTCTAGCTTTACATTGTTGTGGTCTTTATGTTAGTGTTGCTTTTAGATTGTCTGTTCAGATACGTCGTGATGCAATACATCAATGGATTCTTGCTTGCTGTTGTTATGAGGTTCTCGTTGACAATGATGTGATTGCCCTTTGTTAACATGGGAAAATGATTAAACTTGTTCTGATACTTATTGTTCTAGCTTGAGTTTGAGTGAGTTATTTTGTGATTTGCCTAAATCCAGAGTCTTTGGTGTTTAAGAGTTATTGAGTGTTGACTTCGCGTTAATGGAATGTTGTCAAATTCTGCTGATTCGCGAAAGTTATAACAGAACTCCGGGCCGATGATTCGCGAAAGTTAGATCTGCATATTAGTTGGTTGTTTATATAATCACCATTATATATGTCCTTGTCACAAGTTCTTATCCATCATTAGTTGGGCAATTGGTTGCTATTTGTTTGTCTTGATTAATTTTTAGAATCTGTGGATATTATTTTGTGCTTGTATTAATTGCCAATCAATTTAGATGGGATTGGTGCATGAAATAACTACAACAAAGTTCTGTACTCCAATCATATTTATGCTTCTGAACGTGTTTACAGTGACTAACGGCAGTATGGGATATTTATAGTTTTATCAGGACTATCTATTTCTACCACCCTTCACTTAACAACTTGTGGAGAAAAGGGTACGAAAGAGATTTTAATTGTTTTGTGTTTTTTTTCCATTTATGATCTTCTGGTGCAAGGTTTTTGCCAAGAGAGTGGATAAGAGTAGGGGCAAGAGGAAGGAGCTGTCTCCACTGGAAGCTGCAGCTCTGATTCAGAAGAAATTCCGGGCTTATCTCATCCAGAGGTCTCAGGCCCTGCGTGCACTTCGTGAGCTGGCCATTGCTAAGACCAAGTTGAAGGAGATTAGAGTTTTGTTCAACAACTTCTCCTACCGCCGTCGACTGGCCCGTGATGCTGAGGAACGCCAGAGATTCTCTGAGAAGATCATTGTGTTGCTTTTGACTGTTGATGCCATTGAGGTTGTTAAAAACTAAAAAAGCATATACTTTTGGGATCTTTCTTATTGATTTAGAACAATTTCCTAATACTTCACCTTGTAGTTTGATGTTGTAAATGGTATCCATGCATGTCTCACAACGTAGTGTTTTGTTTTCATAGTGATTGCGCAATGTAATTAAGAAATCGTGAATTTTGCCCCTTTTTTTTTTCCATTTCACTTTACAACTTTTTCTTTTCTCCACATTTAGGATGCTGATATGATGGTTCGAGCTGCAAAGAAGCCAATGGTGGATGAGCTGGAAGCAATGCTCGACGTGGTGGACCCACAGCCTCGTGGCAAATCCGTGTCCATGCGGAGGAGAACTTTCGACATGCCGGATAGTGCAATCAACAAGGAACTTGCTGCTGGTGTTGCCCAGGTGGTTCAGTTGCTGGATCAAGAGGCAGACTCTTCTGAAACTTTTGAAGCATGCTTGTGAACTTAGGTTCGGAAGTTTCGGCCCTCTTATGCTTTGAGGTTCTTCTTTGTTATGCCCTTCTTTTAGGACTCTGTACGGTCTACCTGTTTGATTTACTTCTGTTTTCTGAGCACCTTCTGGGATATGTATGCTGAAGTTTGAGGAGTTTGTTGGTTGATCGTGCTTTTACTTATATTTTGTTGTCTCTTATGGTGAACAAAAAAGAAAGTGGTGGTTTGACTTTCCAGTTTTATCTTGAGCTTGAGTTTGAATGTTTTGTTATGTTGTTTTATTGGTTTTTCATTGTAGATGACAATCCTTGGTTGCTTGCTTGTTCTCTTTACTTTGGTTGGAGGCATAAAACTTAATGGAATCTGTTGCAGTATGCCTTTATAGTTGTCATCTAGGACTGCTGGTTCTGCGCTGAACTATTATATTTATAGGAAATCCTACTGTCCCGTTACGGAACTATTCCGTCGAGGCTTAAAATCATTAGATCAACTATCCACGACGGTTACATGATGATCTAACGATTACAAATCTCGACGAAATGATTCCGTAATGGGACTGTAGGGCATATATTTTTCATATAAAAAGATATATACTCAGTTATAATGTTAAAGTTTTGGAAAACAACATCCAACACTATTTAACACTTTTTGAAAAGTATGACATTTTAAAGATCACAATCAGATTCGACTCGATACTTTCTTACAATCGGTTTTGCTATGGAGCCAATAGTTGGCTCCATATTGGAGCCAACTTTCTATATACGACAGATAAGCCTACCATATTCTTTAATTACTTAAATAACATTAATATAATTCTATTGATATGGTATGTTTATTTGTTGTATATGGAAGGTTGGCTCCATTATGGAGCCAACTGTTGGCTTCATAGCAAAACCGTTCTTACAATATATAAAGATCAAAATCAATTTCATCTCAAACCCTTTCTTACAATGTAAAGATCAAAATCAAATTCAACTCAAACCTCGGCCATGCAATCAAAAGCTCAGTTACAATTTAATTTACAACCTCAGATTCACGAATCACATCCCAATTTCATTATGCAGAGAGCGTATTTTATATGCTTCGAGTTTGTTAATTTATTTTGAAGTATTCTTCATTCGTGTCCTTAGTTGTCGTTTTATGGAGACGGGTACGTCCACACACATATATATATCCCAACAACAACATCAATTTCACCATAAGATAACAAAAAAAAAGTGATTGTGTTTTTATTTTTTAAATCCCAAAAGTGAAAAAAAAAATAAAAAATTAAATGATCCCCTTATTGGGCCTAGTTATAGCGTGTGTTGGAAAATCAGTAATATAAAATTGGGTATGACTTGATTTTGACTGATTTGTTGATGGCTAAATATTTAATTCGGATTGAATTAAATTGTGTAGAATAAATTCTACGTTCCGAGTAGAAACTCGTAGTATATTTGATTTCTCAATACTGATTTTCGGTGAGTGAGAAATAAATGTTAGCCTTAAATGGGCACGCAGAACGTTGGTTGTGGGAATCGAATGGTTAAAAGTCTTATCCCAAAGAGAACTCTTGAATGAGATTAACTCTCTTTATTATGATAAAGAGAGTTGGAGAGGTCACAACAATAACAAAGTTATCTACCATATGTTGGTATATAAACCGAGTTGGTTTTGGACTTGGGTTTCGACACAACCCGTGTGACATCGTTCCAGGTACATTGAACCTGGACGTGTGACCTTTCAACCACATAACAGTTTCAAGAGTTATGAGGTGAATTAATGGTGAGTTAAACCTCAAACGTTTTGCAATTAAAACCAAGTCATGAATGGATGTTAATGGCTTGGTGGTTACAAGCCATGAATGGTTGTTAATGGAGCCATGAATGGTTGTTAATAGCTTGGTGGTTACAAGTTTTGAATAGTCATCAAAACTAGCCATGAATGGCCTTTAATGGCTTAGTGGTTACAAAATGAAGAGCCATCCCCCACCTAGGTGGAAGTCCTATAAATAGGACAGTGTAGAGACTGAATGAGATAAAAAAAAAGGTATACAACATTTTCATGCAATTTGAATACTCTCAAAGCCTCACGCATCATATCATAGTGCTCAGTTCTCGTCTTCGAATCTGTTCGCTGGAACTCTGAAGGCTGGTGTGCTACAGCTTCCGAGTGTATTGCCGTTGTATCTTTGGGGACATTACGCAAAGACCCGTCAGCACTATACGGGGCGTATTTGTCTTGCGGAAAGATTTCAATCGTCTCGGCTTTCAATCTGTCCGCATTTGAGTTGTAATTTTTATTTGTTTTAGTTCTACTTGTACTAACCGAACACTTTAATCAGTTCATAGGTTCCCGTTGTAATTCAAAACACACTTTGTGTAACAGCGTGTAGCTAGCAACTTCGATTATAGTTCAAAACGGATTTTAGCTTGGATGGACGCGGAACACTTGTACCAATATCAATAATTGGCTTAAAAGTTATTAAAAACATGAATTAGCCTAATATCCCTCTATATATAGTTTCCGAATATGCTGAGTTTAATTAAGTGGCAGACTCGCATGTTTCGGGATCATATGTGTCAAAATCTCATGCTTCATTATTTGACTTTGATAGATTTTAATTTAATTACAATTCAAAAATAATTAGGTCCGAATACTATTAATATGTTGATTATTTATGATTTCGTATTAATTTGTATCTTACAAGCATTCGTGTAATACACTTTCGTTGTCCTATTATAAACTGAAACTACCATGGACCTCTCATTTGCCATAATCTATAAATGGTTAAAGAATTACAAAAACATTTCGTTTGTGTATTCCATTATGTGCACATTAATAAGTTTATAGTTTGAAGGTTTCTTCTATTTTTCTTTTGTTAAAATGGAACCAACAACCTTTTTGCCCATTCCGACACAAATTAGTATTTACCACTCCTTTATTGTGATATATATATATATATATTGCTTAGTGAGTCAGTGACACATAATCTGCGAGTCATATCATAGTTGCTTAGTGAGTCAGTGACACATAATTTACGAGTCATATATATATCATAGTTGCACATTTTTGTACTTCATCATCGTGTCAATATTTCAAATTTTCAATGAAATGAAATATTCAGCACGGAACTACTGATTGACAATTATCTTACCTATAGTACTACATGACATATATAACAATAATTTTTTTTTAAAAAAAAAAAACTAATAATAATAAAGCATAAAATTTAAGTGCAATCAAAATAAATACAAAAGTGATATGGAAATGGCGAATAAATTTTCCCAACTAATTATTTTCATTTTCAATATGTATTGTATGTTCATGTAGATTTTTATTTATTTATTTTACTTTTTTTTTTTGTTGTTGTTGGTTGCTGCTTACTATTTATTTAATCCATGATTGGATAGCAATGTGGCGAAATAATAATAACTGGTGGAAATAAAATTACAAGTAATGTTGAGCGGAAATATCATAGAAAGTACAACATCCCACTCAAATTCACATTTTCTATGTCCGTAGTCACATCCAATCATCAATTATGCAAATACGAGATGATGTAAATCATTTATATTACAATCTTATAAATTAGACTAAAATTCAATCACTCATCTTTGATCTACCCTATCTATGGGAAAATTCGATGCTGGTGGTGGGGGCTGTGTATGTGTGTGTAAATCAAGGGTGGTGGGTGCATGACTGTGCTGCCCCCACCACTAGCATCGAATTTTCCCTATCTATGTATGCAGACAAATCAAACAACTCCCCGTTAGAATGTTAAGTGAAATGAATCGCTCGTAAGCTGAGATCGACTCGTTTGATGAATGAGTTGAACTCGAACTCATTTAAAACTCATTAATTAGTTAACCAGTCGAACTCGTCTCGGCACAAAAAGATGATTCTTATATTATTTTCTACGGCCTATTAAAGGCTCGAAGTCGGCTCGGCTCGTCTCACGAGTAGAGTTAAGGCTCAAGTTGAGCTCAAGTTTGACGAATCCAAATCAAGCACCTCGAACACGAAAGAGCTCGAGCGTTCGGCGAGCCATTCAAATATAAGTGTAACTTATGTAAATACCCGAAACATGAGTCAAATTCAAGTTGATTGTGAGCTAATTAATGTTTGAAAAAAATAAATAAATTATTTGATTAACTTTTTATTATCGATCCCAACTCTTGCAAAATGCGAGCTAATAACACGTTTCTCATCTTTTATCGAAACGAAGCCTTGAAATATCGGTCGAGCTTGAAGAGCAGTGAAATAAAAAAAACCAAGTTTGCTTGATAAGACTATTGTTCGATTCAGTTCGACTCATTTGCAAACCCTAAAATCACTGTTAATTCTACCTACACGACTACACGTATTATTTCACTATATTAACCACACCTCGTTATTTTTATACATATGATTAATTTATATTATCAAGAAATAAATCATATTGAGAAAAGTAACATCAACCTGAATCAAGAAATAAATCATACTATTGACTTTGGAGTTTTGCACCAAAATAGCATCCATGCATTAAACAAAGTTACACACGCTTAATAGAAAAAGTCCCACCATAACAAAATTGGCCCACATAAATACCTAATTTTGCCTAAAAGTAATTAATATAAGAGATTCATGGTTACCTCTTTTTAACGTCAATTAAGGCACCATGATTTGATTTGGGCGTACAATGTTTGGTCAAAAGTTATACGGTACCTTTTGTAGCAACTTGATGAATGGGCATTAGAGGTCCTTTGATTACGCATAAAAATAATACTATTATTGGGAAATGTTGTGGTTATGTTACAGAACCATTCCGTCATGGTTTATAATCGTTAAATCATCATGTAATCGTCGAGGATAATTGATCTAACAGTTACAAACCCCAATAAAATAAATTTGTAACGAGACTGTAGCATCTCCCATTAGTATTTACTTTCTCAATTATTTTGTTGGAGACTTTACAACTTTTATCCCAATTCAAGTTACAAAGGTTTAATGCTGAGAATCGATCCTGCAAAAGTTGGCACCGCCCCT